GAATGACACACAGGAAACGGTGTTGGTCAGACCCAAAGACAGGCGTGGGCAGTGAGGACTCTCACCTTCAGACTCACTGTCTAATCAGTCTGACAGTGAGTCTGAAGACAGAGCAACCCAACACACGTTACTATGTTCATCATCATCATCATTGTTTATTTATATAGCACTTTAAAAACACACAAGGCTGACCAAACTGCTGAACAATAGAAACATAATAGATACCATAAGAATAATAAATACGATACAATAATAAACATAGCGAAAAACAATAAAATACAAGTCAGTCAACCACTGAGTCAAAAGCCAGTGAATAAAAATGCTTTTTCAATCTGGATTTAAAAACCAGCACTGATGTCGATTGCCTAATGTGAAGAGGAAGATTATTCCAAAGCTTAGGAGCCACGATAGAGAACGCTCGGTCTCCTCTCAGTTTCAGCCGTGATTTGGGGACTGAGAGCAACAGCTGCTCAGCTGACCGGAGCGAACGAGTGGGGACATAGGGCTTCAGCAGGTGCCAGACCATTTAAAGATTTAAAAACCAATAAAAGAACTTGAAAATGAATCCTAAATTCAATTGGAAGCCAGTGCAGGGAGGCCAAGAGTGATGTTATCACTAAGCAGGACATTAAATCAAATTAATGAGACACCAAAACAAGAGCTGGAGCCCAAGACAGCCATGAAGTCACAGTGTACACAAATACACAAGAAACACAGAAACCAGCTGGGTGGATGTGGCTCGGGAACCTTCTGTTACCTTGAACGTCGGTGTTTTGAACGCTGGCTGCTCCAGTCTGCTTGTATTTGTCCAAGATTTCCCCTCATATCTTGGTTATGGTTATTTTTTCTTTTATTAAACTGATCACACTCCTGTTCATGAATAAAAAAACCCCATCAGTGTATTTTCACTTAAACAAGCAGCTGTTTTTTTTGCATTAAAGTTATATAAAAATGTAACAGTGCAAATTCCTCGCTGACAGTTTAACCAAAAGGCATTTCCAGTGGAAAGTAGCCGACATATTCTCAGCATAACCATGTATAATATCCACAAAACCTGAGAAGGTTGGAGAGAAGGTAGGCGAACTCTGCTGGGATCTGCGTTTAACAAAGTGTCTAAAGACGAAACAAAGAAATCTTTCTGTAAATGTTCAGATGCACAGACTGGACTGAAAAAGAGTGAAAAAGCAGCTAACGTCCAAAAATAAGAAAACTTTGAAAGAACTCCAAAAAAACCTGGAGAACTTTTGCTCAAAAAACAGTTTTGTTTTTTTTAAATTACAAGGCAATCTGACAAAATGTCATCAAATGAGACTCAAGACTTCTGCAGGTCTCTGCCATGACTCAATTTTTTTTTCTTAACGGCAGAAACAATTGTTCCTTTTTTACTTTGTTTCTATTTTCTCTTCTTTTATCTGTTGAACAACAAACAACATTCATGCTGATTCACATAATATCCTGTCTCTATCTCTGGGATTTCCTCGTAGCTCTTTGATGCAAAGAACATCCATCAAACGCTCCAGCTTGTGCTCAACATCATCGTGAACGGTGAAGGTACTCTGACGAGAAAATACTCAGTCGACCTTTTGGTTGATTTGTTAAAGAACCCCAAAATAGCTGATTACCTAACAAGGTATGCAGATAATTCACAGCTCTTTTCCTGAATAGCTGCTTTAAAACTCTGCTGAAAGCCTTTGTCCATTTCCAGGTATCCCCACTTCTCGGCATGTGTGTCTCAAGTGTTAGGACTGCTGCATTGGAAAGACCCAGACCCTGCAGCCAAGGTGAGAGACGACAAATATGATAACCCACACCAGCTGTGCTTAACTCTGTAAGTTCCCAGTATTCCCTGAAACCATCACGTGTGACACAGTTTACATCAGACGTGATGCAGCTGACGTCAACACTGACCTTCTTGTGGTAACAGAGACTTAAAAAAATAATAATAAAGCAACAAAGTGGGTCGCTCTTTGACAGTAAATTCCAGTGCGGTCCGCTCCAATCTCCTCAGGCTGACTCTCTTCTAGGCTCTCCTGACTGTTCCCTTTACATGTTGATGATGTGTCTTGTAAATCTGGATCCCTTTCCAGCAGGACGCTCCTCTTTTTCAGACAGTACCTCAGCTGCTCTCTCTCCTGACAGTCAGCTGTCCACCTCTGCATGGCCAGTCGAGCCAGCGCCGGCATTTGAGGCAGAGCTCGGAGCAGAGCGGGCAGCCAGGCTGAGCACGGAGCAGAGGTTGAAGGTCGCAAACTGACATCCACGTCTTCCAGAGAGCCCAGACCTCCTGCTGCAAACAGACTGCACCAACCGTTGTCTCCCACCAAGCTGTTGTAGGACAGATCCAGTGCACGGAGTGAGGAGAGACAGCCCCGTCTGCACACGGCAGCTGCACAGAGGAAGAGGACCCATTGATAACTGATCACTTTATGCCTGTTCACTTTACTGTTTTGTTCACAATGTTTCTGATGGAGACAAAAATAACACCGAATAGTTTCATTGTTTTGTTTTATACGACAGCTACAGATGCTGGCAGCATGAAATAAATGAAAGAAATATCAATTTCCTTCAGGCTTTACTTGTCTTAATATACATTTATGCAGCCTAATGATCCACTACAGACCAAAAAAGAAAAAGTATAATGTCATTGTGTGTTAGTTACCCAGATGTTGCATGTCATCAGTGGTGAGCTCGCAGCTGCAAAGACGGAGCTCGCTGACGACTGATGGCTGCAGAGCATCCAGCAGGAGCGCCAAGTGACCGCCAACCACTTTACACCAGGAAATATCCACCGTGCGCAGATAGGACACCGCCAGGGCTGATGCATAAACACAAAGTTTTCACCATTTCAGGCTAGAGGGTGGAAGAGGTATTCAGGGAGAATGACTTGAAGGAAAACTTCTATAAATAAACAAGTGTGTGTGTGTGTGTGTGTGTGTGTGTGTGTGTGTGTTACCCAGAGCAGTGAAGGACTCGTTGCTCATGTAGCAGCTGTTGAATGGCAGCCTCCTCATTTGTGTCGCAGGGAGGGCGGAGACCAGCAGGTGGACCACACCTCCCACTTCCTTATTGGATGACACATCAAGCTCGGTCAGTGCAGTGAGAGAGGGCAGCACCTGGACTGAAAAACAACGAGTCACATGACTGCTGCAGCGAGCATGCGATTAGTGTCCGGCGTGTGAGATTGGTAGCAACTGACTCAGAGCCTCTAGATCATCTCGCGTGAGGCAACACAGGTGGAGGTCGAGTCTCTCCAGGTGTGTGACGTGAGCCAGGTGAAAGGTGAGGCGGCTCAGTCCACCAGCTAGAAGCAGCTTTACAGTATATTAATCAGAACAATGCTGCTCTCTAATGTATCTTGGTAAAGCGCAGAAAAATCTAATGTTTTATATGATACAGTGTGATTTCAGTAACATATCATAATGGAGGCTTCAGCAAGTACTTACGAAGGAAATCTTTCCTCTGCTCTTCAGTTAGTTCATCAAATACTCCCAAAACATCTGTATGTGGGGTGGCGGTCATGATATCTCCAACCATAACTTGTGTTCTGAACAGTGAAAATGATGTATAATCATAGAGTTTGTAAGGTCAGGCATACACTATGTTGCCAAAAGTATTCCCTAACACATCCAAATCATTCAATTAATGTGTTCAATCACTTCCATGGACACAGGTGATTAAATCAAGCACCTAGGCATGCAGACTACTTCTACAAACATGTGTGAAAGGACGAGTCGCTCTCAGGAAACTGAATGAATTCCAGCATGGTAATGTGATAGGATGCACCAGTGCAACAAGTCCAGTCATGAAATTTCCTCGCTATTAAATATCCATAGTCAGCTGTTAGTGATATTATAACAAAGTGGAAGTAATTGGAAATGACAGCTAGTCAGCTGATGCTAAGGCTCATAGTGCACTTAAGTCACCAATATCTGCAGTCTGCTGTTGTTACAGATGTCCAAACTTCATTGGTTCCATGGCTGAGCAGCTGCATCCCAGCCTTACACTGACAACCACAATGCAAAGCGTCAGATGGAGTGATTTAAGCATCTCAACACTGGACTCTAAAGCAGTGGAGATGTTTTTACTGGAGTGACGAATCACACTTCTCTGACTGGCAATCCGATGGATGTGTCAGGGTTTGGTGGTTGCCAGAATACTTGTCTGACTGCACTGTGCAAGTGTAAAGTGTGGGCATGTGTGCACATGGCTGGGCACCAGTGCACAATACAAGGTCCATAAAGACATGGATGAGTGAGTTTGGTGTAGAAGAACTGGACTAGCCTGCACAGAGTCCTGACCTCAACCTGATAGAACATCTTTGGGATGAATTAGAGCAGCAACTGTGAGCCAGGCCTTCTCCTCCAACGTCAGTGGTCTGACACCACAAATGCACCTCTGGAAGAATAGTCAAAAAATTCCATAAACACACCTAACCTTGTGGAAAGCTTTCCCAGAAGAGTGGAAGCAGTTATAGCTGCGAAGGGTGGGCTGACTATTATATTTACTATCATACAAAGTCTGGATTAAGACTGAGATGTGACTCAAGTTCATATTTGTGTTAAAGCAGCCGACTGATGCTTTTGACAGTATGCAGTACACAGTTATTGTGCTACAGGACAGCTGTAAACTACAGCCTGTGTCTGTTTGGCTGACTGTACCTGTTTGAACTTTTCCAGTCATGCACGTCCTGGCCGACCAGCACTCCCTGCAGCTCTCTGGTCAAAACAGCCTCACCAAATCTGCTCACACACCAGGAAGAAGCCTCGCTTGAACTCCTGGAACAGATTCTCCACTGATGTTTGAAGGCATGATTCACATAGGCCTCCACAAACTCCTTCCTGTTTAGGAGGGAAAATGTTAAATTAGCAACATTTACAGAGGACAAAGGTGCTGCAGTGACCTCACAACACTTCATGTTTTATATGCTTACTTATTTGACCTGTCAGTGCTTTCCAGGAGTTTGGGATCCAGGTCAACATCTGTTCCATCCCAGATTATCTGTAATTAGTTATAAATCAGATGAGTTTAGCTGCAAACCTGAGAATGAGACAGATTACTGATCATCTCTATAGTAAACACATACCAAAAGTCCATGTAGAGATTATCAGAACATATCTTATAGTTGATAATATAAGATAATTTTTGATTTTTAACTTGCGAATATCTTTCTTGCTGTAAATGATCGACTTCAAAGCCTTCCCCATTCATGGGTATCAACAACTGCTTCTCTCCTCCTCAGTATGTTACCATTACCTGAATACGCCACCAGCAAACTGACAGTAGTGGTTACACTTACTGATGATCTAGTGCACTTGATTAGCACTTGGCTAATACTGACCCTCTTAAATAATTATGGAAATAGTCTTGGATGTCTTAGTTTTGAAACATCTGAATTTCGGCTCAGTGTGTGTTAAATAAATAATGACCTGGTATAATGTGTTCTGTGCTGTTATCTGAGTTGCATTTACCTCATATTAGACCTACTAAGGACCTGATTGTTTTTAATTATGTCCTGATACATAAAACCTGAGCGCTCACATAACTGATATGCTCAGAATAGACAGCACACATGGATACAATTACTGCCTTGCAGCAGCAATCTTCAGACCATCACTATGAGCTCCATACAAGGTTACACTGTTCCTGTTATTAACAGCAGGGGGCACTATCAGCCACAGACTGGGAGCCAGATATGCTCTGCTGGTGCCTCATTGTTACAGAGGAAGACTCTATAGTGAGAAACAGCTGAGGGGGAAACACTGATCTGGAAACGTTGGTGTTACAGAGGATATACATAGCACTGTGGTTTCAGGTGTCACCAATCACAAACAAATACAGCAAAGTACTAAAAAGGGTGTTGCCTCCAAAGATTGCTTTTACTGGTTTGGAGCTTAGGAGGCTTATAACAACAGGCATGATGAAGACAGATCAGAACAGCTGTTTGATCACAGCATCCAGTACCAACACAATCATCCACACTCAAGGCCTGTTGGCTTCAGAGTCAGCAGCTGAATGTCTAAATATCAATGTCATTTTTGGTCCATCAGCTACAGCATGAACTGCTTAAGTGAGAAGCAGCCTGAAGCCCGACAGATTCATCTTTTCCAGACTGAAATATCTCAGAGTGAACGAGTGGTGCGTTTTCAGGGTATCTCACAAAGTCAAATCCCTTTAATATGTTCTGTCCTGTCTTCCTCTATCAAAGCACACAAACACTATAAACATTGTTTCGGTGCTTTGGGGTTTTGTTTTCTACACAGAGGTATAGCACGACTAGACCTAAAGGCAGGCTGCTCACCTACAACCAGCTCACGAACATCTTTCCAATGGAGCTCGCTGCCTTTCTCGTGGATGAGGGGTCCACTGTGATCCTCCGCTGGATCCCCTGCAGCAAACATAACAGGAGCTCAGGATCACAGTTGAGCACAGCTAGAGCAACATTACGCTTTAAAAGAAGATATTCAACTGTGTACAAAGGAAGCAGTTACCACTGTGTGAGTAATAAGGAAACACATGTGCACCAATCCTGTACCTGGTGCAGCAGTAGGTACCATGACAGGGCAGGCTCCACTGTGATCCACGATGGCTGGGATGTACCTGTGCATGGAGGGAGGAGGTGACACAACATCCCAACTTATAATATTCTTCCTGGAGATCATTTTATGGTTCTTTAAGCTTGTGCGTGAATATAACACTCAGATGGGATACTCACTCTCCAGTGGGCTCCAGCTCGCTGATCTCAAACCAGACCAGCAGGTCGTACTTGCTGACACACTGACCCAGGTTGGATTTGGTGATGGTGTTCAACTTGGAGGCTGCAACTGGCACACACACACACCACACACACACGCACACACGCACACCACACACACACACACACACACACACACTCAACGTTAACAAGTGGGAATTTTTCTGGATTTAAGGAAGGTGAATAAAAGTGAGCAGTATTTACTACATGCTTTGGGTGACTAAATGGAGGATGGATAGGTGACATGAAACACTACTGACCCTTTATACTGAGCCAATAGCTCACACATTCTATTAAATCTGTCTAAAGAGCCAGTAATCACAGAGGATAGATACTGGAAGAAACTGAAATTTAGGAGAACTAAATCACACATTACAACACCAGTGGCAGCACCCTGCTGTCTCACACATCGGATCACGGTCCTGTTGAAACGGGCTAATTGCTAAAGCTCACAGTTGCATTCCTCTATACTCAATATGATCGAAAAAACTATTTTAACAACAATTAAAAAGAACAAGTAAAAGATCTACTATAGCCAAAGAAGACCATTTACAGACTATAGCCCTGTGAACAAGTATTTGCCTCCTTTCTCATTTCCTATCTTATTCCATATTTGTCACACTTACACCTTTCACATCAATACATTTATAACATTAGACAACAATGTCTAATATTCAACGGCAGTTTTCAAGGGCAAAACGCTATCCAAACATACTTGGTCCTATATGAAAAGTAATCACACAGAAACCTGATACCTTGTGCGTCACCTCTGACACCAACAGCTGCAGCAAGCGTTTGGTGCTAGAGGTCACATTTGGACTCTGGACTCTGTGGAGTGTGCACATGATCTCATTACTGTCTAAAAATCCAAGGAGTGCTGAATCATTGAAAAATACACAGTAACAGGTGTGTAGCATCGCTAACTAGGTAGCAACAAGCCTCTAATTGGATAATCCAAATTGTCACTAGGTGTGAATGTGCAAATGATGTGAGTGCGAATGGTTGTCTGTCCCTATGTGTTGGCCCTGCGATAGACTGGCGACCTGTCCAGGGTGTACCCTGCCTCTTGCCCTATGACAGCTGGGATAGGCTCCAGTGACCCCGCGACCTGAAAGGATAAGCGGAAGCGAATGGATGATGAATTTTTCTTCCTTTATGCTTACAGCCACGCTCTTGACACAATCAGGACAAAATGCCATGGCGACTGTCCCTTGGTGACCTTCTTGGTTACTCATTGCAGATGTTTTTCTATATTGCATAACTACTTTGGAATGATGCATCAAAATAATAAATAAATGAATACATGCCAAAAAAAAACATTTGTTTTAATGTGGGTTTGAAAAAGCCCACCTTTTGAATTATAAGCCGTGAAAAATGACAGACTTTTTCTCATTATTTGGTAAGGATAAGACGCACAAAGAACCAGTATTCTTGCCCTTCAGCAGTCACAGAGGTTTAAACCATGCTGGTGGAAATTAGTGCCATTATCTGACAGGGAGAGGAGCTGCAATATTTCTATATGGCTCCAAGAGTGATAAAATGCCTCACAGCGATGTTCATAAATGTCAGTCATGCCCTGGCAGAGAACTCCACTGCTGAATTAATATTATATGTCAAACAATGCTCCATCCAGTTTTATGGGTTGCATACACAGTCTGAGCCTCCAGTCACGCAACCTGTCCTGGCTTGTAGAGTGAAGCCAGACTAGATGCTAATGGAGCTCTCTAATACTTGATTTAGTCAAGCTTGCAGCTTCTTTCACTATGTTGTATAATGCAATGAATAACATGAACATTTTAGTAAGGTTTGTTTGCTTGTTAACATTTTTCCCTTTAATGTTTTCATTAATAAAATCCAACCTTGAAGCATAACAACCAACCTTCTACTTTCTTAAGTTCAAGCAGTCTACAGTTTAAATAAAGGTCTAAAGTCCAAATATTATTCTGACAATAGAAATCCTAGAATAGTGGTAACACTCTGAATACACATGCCAATATAAATTTATCTCGCTGTCATGTGTTATTTGCCGGGTTGTTCCTCCCGTTGCCATGTAAACACAAATAGTGTATATATATGAATATTTTCAAAAAATGCTCTGTGAGTTCCACATCATAACAGTTATTTACTGAGCAGCTCAGTTAGAACTTGCCACTCACACACTGAGCAGCACTCACTACTTTCTATTTCTAAACAATTTGTTCACTTTTTATCTCAGCATGTCTGAAAAGACATCAGATAACTTTTTCCATCGCTTTGAAGATTTGATTCAGAGAAAGCGCACAGGTGGAGATGTAAGTAACTAAACATACTCATTCTTGACTTCTCTGCTGATCAAATGTAAATGTTCTGAGAGATGTGTTATATTTTGCTGCTTTGCACAGTGTAATTTTTGTGTAAGTCACTGTAGACAGAGCAACTGTCAGCGCTTCACCACAGAGTCCAGGATCCTGGACTTTCACAAAGCTCAGAGCAGTAAGACAAATGTGTTCTTTCAACAGGCAGACACATTGCTATCGCACAGAGACCAGAGATATGCTGTGCAACTCCCACCTTTACCTGAGCAATGCGCAGGCTCTCCCAGAGAGTCGAGAGAAGCTGGAACTGTTTGGATGACCCCTTTTGGAATCAGGAGGACCCTGAAGAAGTCTGAGTAGCCTCAGCTCTGCAGACACACACACACCAAGTGATCTGAGGGCCATTCCTTTCATTGTTAGTCCTGTTGAGATGACACCGCTCACTCCAGTTCCTCCACCTCCTCGAGCAGCTTGTCCATCGCAATTGCGGTTCAAGGTGATGCTTTCTTTAGTGGTTACACCTGCTGTTAATCAGTTAGTTTAGATTTTAAAATTTGACACTGTAGATTATCTATTTTAATGCTAAATTACACATTCTTGCTGTCCATTCATTTATATGCTTTTTTGAAGAAAAAAAAAATCAGGAAGAAAATGTTTATTGTTGTTTTTGTAAGATGTCAATTTGTAGTTATTTAGTTATTTTTTGTCTAAACAGACACGAAGTTCATTCGTGGAATAAGAGTCTTGACAGCAAAAGACAAATTTGGGCCTATTTTGACTCCAAAACCTCCAACAGTTCCATACCGCAAAAACGAGGACCTCGGCCTGGGACGCTGCTGCCCCGTGCAAAAGTCGTCCCTATAGACAGTAAGTGGTTTTCCTCAGTAACTGTAGAAGATGCTGAATAATCAAACTTTAAATTAAGAGATTTTTTAAAAAGATTTTAATGAACAATTAATCACTGCATCATGCTTCGAATTAGAAGAAATGACAGTTTCTTTTACTAACTCGTTGATTATCAGACAAGAAAGCAGACAGTCAGTGCAGTCAGAATAATCCAAGAGAGAGCAGGTCAAACTCCCGCTGTAGCTACACCTGTAGAGAGCCTGTCCACAGCTTTAGTCTGCTGTCTTCATTAGAACTTTAAAATGAATACTAGATCTACTTCTACTGAATGGAGAAAAGGTTCCTGAGAAGAGATTTAATTTTCAGTATCTAAGAAATTTGAGGCGTTTCTGAAGGTACTGTACTGTTAGAGCATCTTAACATAGAGTCCTTGAATACTAGGCAGTTGTAGAGGATGAGTTACTCTACTTTAAATGACTCCCACCCCTTATTGGAGGATTTCAGCTTCTTCCTGTGGGACAGAGGTTTGCAGCCCCTAAATGCAGGCGAAGCTTGAAGAAACAGCTTTGTCCAAGCTGCTATTTGTTGTCGTTGTAACAAATGACACATGTTTTTTTTCTGTATTTTTAAAAACTGTATTTATTTATTTACTGTACTTATTTCTCTATTTATGACAGTGCTTTATCTCCTTTTTGCTGTTTTATATGATTTATCAGTATAGTGTTGTCTAGTTTAGAAGCTGTGATTAGGACGTCTATTTAAATTTGTTGATTAAGATCATATTAGAGATCATAACCTGCCTTTGATTTAGACATGTCTGATATTTTTGTAACACAAAATAGTGTATATATATGAATATTTTCAAAAATGCTCTGTGAGTTCCACATCATAACAGTTATTTACTGAGCAGCTCAGTTAGAACTTGCCACTCACACACTGAGCAGCACTCACTAACTTTCTATTTCTAAACAATTTGTTCACTTTTTATCTCAGGCATGTCTGAAAAGACATCAGATAACTTTTTCCATCGCTTGAAGATTTGATTCAGAGAAAGCGCACAGGTGGAGATGTAAGTAACTAAACATACTCATTCTTGACTTCTCTGCTGATCAAATGTAAAGTTTCTGAGAGATGTGTTATATTTGCTGCTTTGCACAGTGTAATTTTGTGTAAGTCACTGTAGACAGAGCAACTGTCAGCGCTTCACCACAGAGTCCAGGATCCTGGACTTTCACAAGCTCAGAGCAGTAAGACAAATGTGTTCTTTCAACAGGCAGACACATTGCATATCGCACAGAGACCCAGAGATTATGCTGTGCAACTCCCACCTTTACCTGAGCAATGCGCAGGCTCTCCAGAGATAGTCCAGGGAAGCTGGAACTGTTGGATGACCCCTTTTGGAATCAGGAGGACCCTGAAAGAAGTCTGAGTAGCCTCAGCTCTGCAGACACACACACACCAAGTGATCTGAGGGCCATTCCTTTCATTGTTAGTCCTGTTGAGATGACACCGCTCACTCCAGTTCCTCCACCTCCTCGAGCAGCTTGTCCATCGCAATTGCCTGTTTTCTCTGCTAAACATTCAGGAGCAGGTCGGTTCAAATGTGATGCTTTTCTTAGTGGTTACACCTGCTGTTAATCAGTTAGTTTAGATTTTAAAATTG